CMWWAAAAWWTKRWKGRWKGRWWAAWKGRWWRAMSRAMSRAWKRAAAAAAGAGAAAAAAGAAAAGAAAGAACAAGTAAAGTAATGAAAGAAAAGAAAGAAAGAAAGAACAAGTGAAGTAGATGAAGGAAGAATGGAAGGAATTAATAAGTGTTTTTAAAATGCCTCAAAATACCCCCAATAAATGGTTGGATAAGTTAGCTTGCGTGCGTGCAGACAAACCAGTCACAAAGCAACAGTTCTAGCTGTATGCATGACAAATGAATACAAGATAAAAGTTTGGTTAACATATGAATCATAATAATCAAAGATGACAAACCTTGTTTCTAGTCAAAAACCCAACCATCATAGGTGTGATAAATCCWGTAGTACCACCCACAGTGTTACATAAACCCATAATTATAGAAGCATTACGAGGCGCAATGTCCAGCATATTTACATGAAAACCTGCATACACAAATCCTGACACAAATCCTGCTAGAGAAATCCAACCAACTACTAAGTAGGGGTCTTCTGTATAACCAGCAAGTACTATGTARATACTAGCAGTTGCCCCTAGAAATCACAACAATATCAATCTTMCAGTTACACTAACAAAATGCAAGCCGATTTAAACAGTTTGAGCTCTGAGGTAAGCAGGCAGGCAAACAAAGTAGCTAMCAGGCAAACGCCTGGGAAATCAGGGAAGCAGGCAAGTAGTGCATGGCGCAAGCAGGCAGTCGTGAGCAAGCCAGCAAAAAAGCCAATAAGCAATTAACTAATGTAATGAAATGTGTCAGGTATACCAAGAGAGAAGAAAAGYCGTCTGGCGGTTAGCACGCCGACATATCCACGACGTAGTAAGCAATCTGACAAACAGCCACCCAACGGACAAGATACGGCTTTGAATAGGAACGGCATTGCTGCAGCAAACCCCATCTACAAAACAATTATCATGACTGACTTTATTTTACTTTATTTGAAAAGAAATGTGTTTTTTGGTAACTAGGCTAGCTCGTCAATGGATTGGTTGGTACAGAGAGGAATAAACCCCTTTCGGTTCATGGGAGAGGGAATGCTTCTCTTTTGAAACTTATGCTCATCACCACTTTCCCCGTTCCTCCTTTCAAGCGAAGCTGCTTTGGCGCATACATTCTGACCATTCTGCCTGACAATTCACATTTCCAAGGKAGCAAAAAGGAGTAAAATACATTTTTGTAGATTCTTGTTTAGTCAGGTCCCTGCTACAGTTGGTGTGTCATGTGACGAAGCACRGAAAACGCCGTATTTAGCAATAATCATGTGACCTACTTTGTGCAAGTCGTATTGTATGACGTCAAGCAAGTACAACGGTATGCAAATAAGCAGTACATATAGCCCCCAGTCCCCTGCAAAGGCAGCTGCTGTGATGGCCCAAACTCGACGAGACGTTAGGATTTCTCGCCATGGAACTTCTCCACTCATCTGTAGAAACAAGAAACTATCATCAGAAAGAGAAGGTATTTCAAAATTTGCATTGTTTCTTAACTAAGCATGCGCATGCCTGTTGTCCATGGGTTTATCATTATTTGATACAATCTCGTRCCCAGAGCCCGCGTTACTTTTGGYCTGYGTTAGTTCYCGTCGCTGACCGAAAGAGAACGCAGGCTCTCGAGATTGTGTTTGATAGAATATGTATTACCTCTTCAGCGCTGACAGCAGTCTCTTCGATAAGTTCTCTTTCATCCATGGATATCGTAGGATGAACGGACGGTGTTTCATATATAAGGAACAACCACAGGGCATACCAAACTACACCAAGCACCCCTAGGGAGAATGATATTTTAAAAATCATACTTCGAAGGAAACAATGTCTTCATTGTCATCATCATTTTATCTCCAGATTCAGATTTATTTTCTTACCAAAGAAGTAAAACGTAAGCGGCCATCCACCATCAATATGTGTCATCGTTAGCAGTCCAGATATTGGCATCGCGGCAACACTGCCCGTGGTGCATCCTGGGAGAAACATATAATGGACTTAAATCCTATCACACGGGCATGATTTACCTCGCATAGACTGGTGCTATATCGTGTCGTACTCTTATTGTACTGTATATTCTGTTAATTAACATATAAAAAAGCTGTTTATTTTATGAACGCACCTGCGATGCTTAGTGTCAGCAGTGTTGCACGTTCCATGGACGGTGCCCATTTACTCCAGATCGCGTGGTTGCATGGGAACATTACTCCCTTATAAGGATAAGTTGCATATTAATTACGTCCTTAGTTAATTGTTGATTGTGTGTTTTTCCTTACCAGTACCAGTCCCTCGACGATGCGCAGTGTAATCAATAAATAAACACTTGCTCTTGTTGCTATGGGGGTCAGTAACGTCAATAACGACGATATGAATAAAGAGAGTCCGTACAGCCGTGTTGCACCTATCTTTATTGCCAACCAACCACCGACTATCTGTAAAGCTATATATCCATAATAAAAGGAGCCAAGAACAATTCCTGGAAAAATGAAAACATATGGTGTTAGACTACTTTGAGTAAGGTAAGTAATGGCTTGTTAAATYCTTCCCTCCCCCAATCAAAGAAAGGACAGGAAGCCCAAGTATCATAAAAACGAATCCTAATATGTCTAAGAAACAAAGATGCCTGGAATTAAAACAACATATTTGGTCTATTTGGTGATGTATCGATACCTTGTAATCTTGAGCTCCACTGAAATTCTGGTGGCTGTAGAAAAAAAAAATCAGGAATCTGTCGTATCATTATTGATTTATTGATTTATATCACTGAAGTGGCTATAAAATGTAAMAAAGCCGGCAAAGAAATACTGTAGCAATGTATTACAATGTATTGCAATTATAGCTAAAGATGCAATAGAAACCTATGACACAAATGAGCTCATTTGCGCCGATCTCGCTCTCACAAGTAGTAGACAAAATGTAGTTTTCCAGTAACACAAAATGTCGCGGAAATCTCGTCAGTAAACTTTGTTACTCCTGCGATCTTTTTATTTCTTTTTATATCAAATTCAGGGAATTGAATCATAATATTGGTATATTGAAAAGTCGTTGCAAATTCGTTTGTTAAGCAGACAGCCTCTGACAGGTTAACGGGTGACCCAAAACGGTCTTTGTACATTAACAGCACTGAACATGAACGCCATTTTGAATTGTCGTGTGATATGTGCAGCTTTGCAAGCAAGAATTGTGGTGATGAGCTATTGTTATAAAACTTAAAATTAAAATGTTAAATTTGAAAAGAGATAACTCTGCATGATTCACTCTTTGCTCAATTAAATTTTCTCGCATGAATTTATGTTACTTTTTGTCTATCGCCTTCAATTTTACTATTTTAATCACTGAAAAAATAGATATACTGAAGAAAAAACAAAAAGTCCTGTTCATATAAAGAGGTTAATCCTAAACCTAGAAAATTATTCATAAACTGGTCACTAATTCAGAAATAATTACGGTTTTAGATTAAAAACAATCAAATGATGTTGCCACCCGCGTCGACCTGTTCAGACTTTTCATGTTTAACCTTTTACCTTTTTTGTTGGGTGTCCATGGGATAAAATAGTATGGTTCTTCGCCATTGCTCCTATCGCTACATTAAGATTAACTCGAAGGCCGTACATTGTAAAGAAACCTAAGAAAACCAGCATTGATAAAATATAACGCTTTGGAAGGCAACCTTCTTTWGTAATGGCCGCCATCTTGGTTGTAGTTTATTTGTCTTAGCTGAAGTTGTTCTATCGGTCTGTGACGGGTGGTTGAGCAGAGGTTATTGGTTCAAGTACACAATAACACAATAATTGCGGAAGACAAAAATAAAATCATACGAAACATAACATACCAGTGATKTATTTTCATTGAGTGAATTTTATCAGAACTGATCAATGATTTTCATGAGGTAAAGACGAGGAATCGTTTACTGGTTTGGGCTTACTGTTCTCTTCGTAGCGGCTTATTTTATATTTTTTCAATCGACAGTTCACAGAAACTAAAATTGATAATCTGTCAGTAATTCACAACGAGTACTTTATATTTTTTTATTTCTATCATTGGTTTGATTATCAAAAGTGATTTGTCGTCTGACAAGGTGCTATTGTTTCATGGATTAAGTGTCTGGTCGCGGGATAATAATACTAAAAAATTAAAGTTACATTGTAATTACTCGACAAATGTGTGTATTTTGATGAAAGGAGTCGTAGTTTTTCCAGGAGAACACTGTCAATTATGTTTGTATACGTTTGAGCCAGATCGCTGTTGTATTCAWTGCATTTTTGCACACTCGTTTCTTGTTCTGTAATGCACGCGGTGCATTAAGGGAAAAATCACAACTCGGCGCAATGAAATGTACAATTTTAAATTTGTCCGCCATATTAGATGACGTCATTTTCAACATGGCTGCTTTATTATGTGCCGTGTTTTTGATCTGYTTCTATTTTGCTGTACTTCTGGACTAGACTCKTTSTAYATTATCAGTGTCTTCCCAATCTACWTGCYCWYTGAACTCTGCTTCTATGCTTCTATGCCCGGATTTCTTTTCTCTTTCTACAAGAGAGGACGTTAAGGAACTCTCTTCTGAACGAAGGGTTAAGCATCCCATAAATGAKAGGATTTATAGCGCTCGACGTGTAAGCTAAGTACATATACACGAGATAAACTCTTCGATCTAACGCGTCTSGGACCATAACATCAGCAATGTCTATTCCAAAGCATGGAATCCAGCATATGAAAAAACCAAGTACTGTCCCGAATAGAGTTCTCGATATTAGAACTTCCAGTCGACTTAATTGAGATTCACGACGCATACTGATAGATACAGGATTCAYTTCATGCACTTGTCCAATTCTGTAGTTGACTCGCTGATTATGATGCTTCAGTTTTCTAAARACTTTAGARTAACAAATAACGATGACAGCAGCTGGCAAGATAACAAAAAACAGGCTTGACACTGCTGTGTAAATRAATGAGTACATCATACTATGGCTGATGGGTACGCAAATGATTTTACCAGGATGAAAYGCAAAGACGTAGTCGTTAGCTGTGAAGACAAACGATATAGACACCCCTAAAGAAAACAAGCACGCCGCCAATATCATGAGTACAGTATTCCGGATTTTAAAAACAGCATTGCATTTTATAGGTTTCTTTATCTTGTAATAACGATTGACAGCTGTCAAAGCCATGATTTGTAGRGATACAAATGCTAAAAAMGTCACCATGAATCCCTGTATAGTGCATGTTATTCCACTAAATGGCCACTCTCCAACCATAAGCGCGCCCACGGACAATGGCATAGGGAACAGCGCCATCACGATATCTGACATGCACAGTGCAATGATGAATGTATTAGTGATGTTGCGAAGGCGTGGTTTTGATAAAAATGCTATGACAACCATAGTATTGCCTAATAAGGCAAGCAAGTTGATGAAGATCAACGAGGAAGTCTCTATAATGACCACAGCTTGAGATCGCTCACCGAACTCTCTGTTCAGGATTTGGGCGTTAGGTCGTATAATTTTTGAAGAATTCATGTTTTCTTTTAGAGCAGAGGATAACTGAACCTGTGAAAAGACACGAGTACTGTTAATACTATTGCTATAGGCATTTTGCGAGATAGCAGTTTGCATTGCATTGTGGTCTAGATTCGATACAAATATATTTTGTTTGYGCTGCCAAATATGGCGTTGTTTGTGCTGAAGGTAGAACAAGTAGAACAAAATACACCGTGATTTTGTATTTCAGAAAAGGTCTACTTGTTATCTTAATGCGGAATTCCAGAGTACAACTGACCGATTTCTATAAAGAATTTTTTTGGGAAGCTGAAASCAAAAGGAAAACGGTCGGAAAATATAACCCACTATGAAGAACAAAAATTAGTTTCACGTGTCAGTCACTGTAGACTTAGAAGTCCCTTTATCAGATTTAATTAAAGACAAAAAGGTTTGTATTAGKAATTTAGTAAAATATCACTTGGAAAAATTGATCGAAATGAGAAATTTGTTCGTTAATTGTTCCGGTTTGCTTTAATCATAASGAGATAATTAAGCAACAGGACTTTAAAAACATTGCAGTGTTTCTAGTAAAATCCTCAGTCATCCCACACAGTAAACGTACGTGCATGTCAAATCTGATGCTTGTATTAGACTCTAAAACAAACTACTTAAATCTAGATCAGAGATTACATTTGAGAATCTCCTTTTGCTGATTATTCACTGCTATTTCATGTGAGATTTTACCGAGAAGTGTCAAGAACGTTACTTAGCTTGGGCGTCCATAGCAGCTTGTATTCTCATTGAAAAACCCTCGGAAATTACTAGGTTGTTTACGACGTCGTGCGCTAAATAATACAAAATCTGATTTTGACAGAGAATCATGACTTTTCCAACATGTTGTTTTTGAGATTGCACTCGACTACAAACATTTGACCATTTTGTAATTAAAGTTGGTTTATAGACAGTATTCACTAGCTAGCTGAAAAGTTAATGATTTGCGCAACACTATTTCCAATCTAGCACAGGTGTAGGAATTAATAACCTAGGGCGTATTTTCGTTTCTGTCAATTAAAGACTTTAATCATGAATCATTTATTGGGCGCCTATAGACGAAGTTAAGGCAGAACTTATTCGGGTTTTATCTCAGCAAACGACCTTAAAAAAACAATTAAGAAAAGATGRATGTGAGAACAATTAAAATGGTTTAAATTAAAATGCATTGGGTTTCAGCAGATCGAAATTAAGGATAAAATGACAATCACTTCCGAATAACAGTCCACTTAAAGTAAGGTGATGTCATGAGATGAAAAATGGCCTATTAGTACGCTTCCAATGAAAACATAAAGTTTAGTTGCAGTTTTGCATCCTGGGGTGTTTTATTTTGCTAATAATTCAAGGTAGTTCGTTAGTTTATTGCTTTGATAATCTAAAGCGTTTAATTCCTCAGTAGCGCGTGCTTATGGAAGAAATATAGCACGCTTCCTCGACCAATCAGAGGYGCGCGTAACATATATAACGAATTCAGTATAACAATATGACCAGAATAAAGAACACGTATTACAAAATATCTCCTGCGTATTGTTTATAGACAATATAGCTTTACTTTCGCATTTTATCTGTGTGATGTGAACATCACTTCACACTATGCATCCAAACTAGTTGGCGGAACAAAATGAGGAGTGTTATCTTTGTACGTATGCTCTATGGGTATTGGGCAATCTCGGATGTAAAGCTTCTTAAGCTGCAAAGTTTATTTAAAGTAAAGTGTAGATGAGCCGGGATAATTACAAGTGGATCGACAGTCACTCCTTCAATACAACAAATATGACATTCATATCTCGATATGATGACGTTTTTCTTAGTCAATAAKCTGGGGAAATTCAAGAAAATCACACCTCATGCAAATATATGACAAAAAAGTGTTGTTTTTTTTCGTTTACGTAAGTAACATTGAAAGGTCCGTAAAGGCAAATATTACATCACTGAAGTCTATTATTTCATCACTTTTTCTTGAATGGATTTGAAATGTCAGATTTAGAATCAAACTTGACTCATAAATCTAAATCATGGCTAGAGGAATATCCTTTAAGGCAGATGAGAAAAATGAAGCGATYCTAGTGATAATAACAGCAGTAGAACAGATAGACAGCTGTAAAACTTAGATGAAAGAATGAAATAAAGTCGTGATTGCTAGCTGTAAGTTACAGAATCTTAAAAAGTGAAAGTTGATTCTTGCAAAACCATGACCTACCATGCAATCTTCCTGACTCGTGTTGCCGTCGATCAGCAATCTGCGTCCAGTTAGTTTCAACTTCCAGTCCAAGTACAATTATATACTCTAGCCTTAATTGCTCGTCTGTGGATTCAATCAAGTTTGATATCAGTGGGTCTTCTCAGGCGTTTTTATGCATACAAGCAGAGCGGGATTTAAATACGTCACGCTCCATGTGACTACTCATAATGTTGGYCTCATAAACCTGGATGTTTCTGGTGAGATGGAAACGTGGAAAAGCGTAGGAAGTGTGTCGTGGAACATTTGTTGTTTTCATGTTGAACTTGGAATATAATTGCAATACTAATGACTTCCACTTGTGTTTTTTAATATGCTATTTTTATATTTTGGCTTCGAGATATGTGYCTYTCYTYMKGKT